ATGCTAAAATATTAATAAGGAAAACATGAGACCAAAATAAACTCATTTTGTGCCGGCTAATACCATTAACTGCACATTATTCAAGTGTTTAAAAGATATCAAATTGGTGTAGTTTCTTACCTTTCATTTGATCTTGCAGAATTTTTAATTATCATCATCATAAGCACTTACATGAAATCTTTCTTTTATTACCTGAAAAAATAGCCAACAAACCTAGATATAATTTAAGCATATCTCATCTGCATTGTTCATTTGTATTTTCTACTTTTACATCTATTCAAATTTAATGATTTAGTTTTGGTAATCAAATAAATTTCCCCTATATTGTTCATGTGTTCTTAACACGACATAAAAATTACTAGTTTTATTTTCAACTTGATTTTCCAATGGTGTGGATTGAATAAACGAAATTAATATATTTTCAGGTCACTAATATCTTTGTGGTAGTGGTAATAAGATTGTGTGCTCAACCAATGAAGCACATGTAGATTGCTTAGTTTTCTCGAAGTTGGCTATCCTACTGGTGATTTTTGATCAATAGATGAGAAATTGATCTTATGTTGTCTTTTCATAAATATTCTATGATCATGAGTTAGTAGAGTGAACTCATTTGTCACATTGTAAGTAAAAAAAATCAATCCACAGGTTTTTTATGGAATATATGTATAAATGTAATACTTTACTTTAGAAAAAACATATAGAAATCCATACTTGACGATACCCTATTTTGTGGATAAAAAGATAATAAGAAAAAGTAAATAAGTACTTAACGATTTTATAATTACATTATGCTTTTATATGGTTTTGTTTATTTTCCTTGTACTGGTTATCGACTAAACATTGAACAAAAAAGTGTCATAACTTTTTTTTATTGTTTCAATTTTTATATTGTTTTCTTTGGTTTTAAGTGGAAGCGTGTTGTTATAAAAAGGGAAGAGTTAAATGTGGGAAATCCCTATCATTAGGGATTAGCATTCCATATATATATATATATATATATATATATATATATATATATATATATATATACAATGTTACATAAGGGACCCTACACTATATAGAAAGTATAGAAAATACATAATAAACTAACACACCCCCTCAGTTTGAGCATGGGGTTTACAAATGTTTAAACTATCCCGAAAATCTCAAAATAATTGTGTAGGTAGACCCTTAGTAAATATATCTGCAAACTGATGAGCTGATGGCACATGCAAAAGGCGCACATGTCCAATAGCAACACATTTCCTAACAAAATGTAAATATATTTCCACATGCTTGGTACGTTGGTGTTGTACCGGGTTTGAAGATAAATACATAGCACTCACATTATCGCAAAACACAACCATTGCTTTAGACAATGGACAAGATAACTCAATTAGTAGATTGTGAAGCCATGCAGCCTCAGCAACCACATTGGCCACCCCGTGATACTTAGCCTCAGCTGAGGAGCGTAAAACAACATGTTGATGTTTAGACGACCAAGAGACAAGATTATCTCCCAGATAGACACAAAAACCCAAAGTGGAGCGACGAGTGTGAGGGCAGCCAGCCCAGTCAGCATCAGTATAAGAAACCAAGCGATCAACCGATAGAAAAAGGCCATGAGACATAGTGTCCTGAATATAGCAAAGAATGCGTTTAAGAGCAAGGAGATGCGGTTCTCGAGGATCATGCATGAACAAACAAATCTCTTGAACATCGTAAGCAATATCAGGACGAGTGAACGTAAGATGTTGAAGAGCACCAGTAAGACTCTGATAGAGAGTTGGCTCAGATATAGGAGCACCATCAGGAGAGAGTTTGGACTTGGTGTTAAAGGGAGTGACACAAGGATTACATGTATCCATATCAGCTCTATAAATAATTTCTTTTGAAAATGATGTTTGAGATAAGAACAAACCCTTGTCATAACGGGAGGCAGCAATCCCAAGGAAGAAGGAAAGAGGACCAAGATCAGACATGGGAAATTCAGAAGATAGTCTAGAAATGAATCTACGGATGAGAGAGGATGAGGAAGCAGTGAGAATGATATTATCAACATAGAGAAGAAGGTAGAGGTGATCAACACCAGAGTGATAAGTAAAGAGAGAGCAGTCAGAGCGACTACTAGAAAATCCTAAGGATGAGATGAATATTGCAAACCACTGATACCAGTCCCGAGGAGCCTGTTTGAGCCCGTATAGAGCTTTGCGAAGGCGACAAACATGATTCGGAAGGGAAGGATGAACATTCCCAGGGGGTTGTTTCATGTAGACTTCCTCAGATAGATCACCGTGAAGAAATGCATTTTTGACATCTAACTGGTGAATAGGCCATATTTTAGAGATAGCAATACTAAGAACGGTACGAATGGTAGCATGTTTGACAACAGGGTTGAATGTGTCATCAAAATCAAGACCAGGAAGTTAAGAGAAACCTTGATCTACAAGGCGACCTTTGTAGCGATCAAGTTTACCTTGACTATTAAATTTATGATGATATAGCCAGCGACACCCCACAATGTTAGCACAAGGAGGAGGAGGAGGAGGAACAAGATCCCAAGTGTGACTGGAGGTGAGAGCAGACATCTCAGCATCCATGGCAGATTTCCAGTTAGGATTACAAAGGGCTTGAGTGGTAGATTTGGGAATGCGAGAGACGTCAGTGACAGATGAGAGATTGAATATTTGTTTGGGTTGAAGAGAGCCGGTACGCGATCGAGTGACCATAGGATGATGAGAAGGAGAAGTGGGAGTAGGGACTGGAGAAGATGATGGAGGTGAGGATGGGTTCGTAGGAGAAGCAGATGGAGCAACGGAAGAAATATCACTAGAGGTAGTATCCATAGCAGCGGGCATACGAGATATGGGAGACACATCGTCATCGAATAAGAAAGTATCATATTCAGAAATGTCTGTGGGAGAATGAAAATCAGTAAAAGGAAAGTGATCTTCATCAAACGTGACATGTCGAGATATAATGACACGACGGGTGATGAGATCAAGGCAACGATGTCCGCGATAATCAGAGGCGGGGCCAAGACAAACGCAAGCATAAGATCTTGGAGAAAGTTTGTGAGGAGTGGTAGATGAAAGATTTGGATAGCACAGATATCCAAATACACGTAAAATGATTGTAAGAAGGACTAGATCCAAAAAGAAGTTCAAACGGGGTTTTGAAGGAAAGGGTAGTTGTGGGAAGGAGAATGAGAGTGTGAACCGAGGCGAGAAGAGCTTCAACCCAAAACTTGGGTGGAAGAGAAGCTTGGAAAAGAAAGGTACGAAGAATGAACTAATTCAAATAAACGAGAAGTTTTAATAGTAGAAGATGAGAAAGGTAATCGACAGTGCTTCCCAAGCTGACAAGCATGACAAATGGGAAGTTTATTTGTAGAACTAGAAATAAAATGACGAGATTGCAGGAACTTTAAAATAGAGGAGCCAGGATGGCCAAGACGCCGATGCCACGTGGGAAGAGATATTGCAACACAGGTGGTAGCTGAAGGGGATGAAGTAGGAGACGGGACAATAGGGTAGAGATCACCGACACTGTCACAACGTTGAATGAAAGCACCTGTTTTAAAATCCTTCACAGTGAAACCAAATGGGTCAAATGTAACAGAAACAGAATTGTCAACAGTAAATTTGCGCACAGAGACAAGATTTTTGACCATTTTATTTGAGACTAGAACATCATTTAAAGCAAGACGGTTATGTGTGTGCGGAAATTTTGTTTGACCAATGTGAGTGACAGGAAGTATAGCACCATTACCAACCATAATAGATTTAGAGTTACAAGGTATTAGGGAAAGCATGTTACCGGAATTAAAGGGTATATGCGAGCTCGCCCCGGAATCCATGTAGAAGTTGTTGCCAGGAGGTTGTTGAACTGACATAACCTGAAACACCGATGCTAAATCTGTGAATTGTAGTGGTGTAGCTTGTGCGTGACCACCAAAGGAAGAAGCCGAGGGTGGTTGTTGTTGGGAGTAACTCGATTGTCGAAGCTGTGGAGAAGCTTGAGGGTGTAGCTGTGAGTGCTGACCAGCAAGGGGCTACAAGTGTTGTTGGCCGAGGTGTTGTAGAGGTGATGGACCGAAGCTGGAAGGCTGCTGATACACTACAGCCGTTGAACCAGGTGACGACGGAAGGAAAGGTTGTTGATGTGGCAGAGGTGGCGGAACAGCAGCATATGATGGCATATGTGGCGAAAAAAGAGCAGTAGCAGGTCTGAAAAAACCAAGATAAGGGGCTGATGCAGGAGCATTACCCAATACACCAACAAAGGTGTGTGGAGGATCCGGTTGCCCACTTGTATTGGGATTTTTACTTTCAGATTTTTGAGCATTTCGATTCTTGGACCATCTGTTTTTGTTTCTTCCATTATTATTTGGGGAAAAATACAATGCGGAGATTTGGGACATCATAGAATCAATAGTTGAGTCCGAGGCAGCCTCACGTTAGTCATGCAGGAGAAACATATTTTTGGCTTCCAAAAAAGATGGGAATGGCTTGGAATTGGTAATTACATCAACAAGGTTGTGGTATGATGGAGGTAATTGTCTTAGAATTTGCATTACCAATTCTATTTCAGTGATAGGAGAGTCCACATCTTTAAGGTCATCAACAAGACTTTTAAGAGTATGATACTCAGTGATAGAATGAGAACCTTTTCTTGGTGTTTATGAACTGATCTTGGAGCTGGAACATCCAAGACATTTTGTTGTTACAGAAAAACTCTTCAATCTTGTCCCAGAGTTCTTTAGAAGTGCATTCATCGCTGGAAATAATTTGAAGTAGGCTAGGATCACATGTGTTATAGAACCAGGACTTGATGCGGGCATCAACTGAGAACATTATTCATCATCGTTTCCTGAAGGCTTAGATTTTCCTGAGATATGCTCGTAACACATAGTGTCACGACACATATTGGAAAAGATTTGTCACGACGACTTGTATCTAGAACCATCCACATTTAATTTGAAGTTGAATTGGTTGTACACATTAGTAAGAGAACAAACCATGGTTAAGGTTGATGGAACCGCTGAAGAGGAAGAAGTCGGAACAGTGGACATGGTTGTTCAGTGTAGAATAAGCGATGACAGAGGGGAAACATGTGACGTCAATCACAGAAGAAAGGAGCAGCAAACTGTTCTTGAACCAGTCTTGAACAACCGACCACAGAAGAACAAAATCGATCCAAAAGGGAACGAGAAAGAAAAAAATTGTGTATGCAGTATTTCCTGTGAACGTAGGTGAGAGGTACAAGGGGTAGGAAACCCTAGCTTGATACCATGTTAATGTGGGAAATCCCTATCATGAGGGATTAGCATTGCATATATATATATATATATATATATATATATATATATATATATATATATATATATATATATATATATATATATATATATATATATATATAATATATATATATATATATATAGGGAAAGTGAATATACCCTTAAGGGTATATAACATTAGGTACCCATTTATTTAAAACTACGTAGTTTCGATTATTGGATTGATTTTCTGGGAAAAAAATACAATTTCCATAATAATTTGTTGCGTTTCCTAATTAGACTAGAGTACTGATAACATCAACTTACGTCATCCTCCTTGATCGCCGGCTGCTTATCACAAAGATTTCAATTCAAAGAAAAAAAACGATTTCAATTCAAAGTAAAAAACGATTTCAGTGAAATCGATTTCAAAAAAAAACACAATCTGTCGATTTCGAAATTCACAAATAACGATTTCATTCAAATTAGAATTCAATTCAGGGAGTCATTGATTTCATTCAAATTGGAATTCAAGTCAGGGAGTCATTGATTTCATTCAAATTGGAGTTCAATTCAGGGATTCATTCAAATTGGGTTTGATCAGACGTTCAAAAACTACAAATCCCAGTGTCCCCTGTTTTTTCTTTCCAGAGCACTTCCAAGTAAGTCATTAATCTCGTGTTTTATGACCTATGTTATGTGTATCTGATTAGTAAGTATCAGCCGTATTACTTTCCCAATATATTTAACTTTTGCAGTTCTTTATTCTCGGTTCTCATTTGTGTTTAAAATTGAATTTTGGCTGTCACTATGTGTTTTAAATGAAAGTATGATGCTACAAAACTACAAATTCCCCGTGTTTTCGTTAACAGTACTTCCAATTAGTTTTTCTAAAACTGACATTGATATGATTATTAAAGTTTTTCAGAATTTAATATTCAATATTATTGTTTACAGTGTTCTTTATTACCTGATGAATCTTTATTTGTTCATGGATTTTAAAAGTGACATTGTTGTTTTTAGACATTGTCATTGGTTGTAATTGTGTTTTTTTATGTATAATGTTTCCATTATATTCAATATAAAACAATTTTTTGTTAATCTTTTATTTGGAAATATGCATCGTTGTCTATTGCAGGCCATAATGAGTGAAGCCGAAGCAAGTAATCACGCTATAGAACCATATATAACCAAAGATATTGGGACAAATGATTATGTTGAAGTAACATATGAATGTGAAAATATAAACAATATCGGTGTGAACATTGAATTTGATGAAGATGATGTTAATGATGTTAATGATGAAAGGATATTGGGAAAGGTTTTTGATACACCCGATGATGCCTATACATTTTATAATGATTATTCATTTATGCATGGCTTTGGTATACGTAGAGATGACACAATTAAAAATCCCAAAACAAATGAGCCTTTTCGGAAGATATATGTATGCAACAAAGAAGGCTTCAAAAGGATGGATAAAGATGCTTCAAGCGAAAATGAGAAAAAAAACGTCGTAGAGATGTTAGAACCGGATGTCAAGCAAAGCTTCGAATAACAAGACAGGAGGATGGGAAATGATTGGTGGACTCGTTTAATGACACACACAATCACGACTTGACCATGACACCTACAAAGGTGATAAAGCATCGATCTCATATCAATTTCCACCGTTCAATAGTATTTTGTGAAAAAACGAAATTATGAGGGTGCTTTGTGAAAAAAACAGAAGTATGATGGTTTTTTGTGAAATAAACGAAATTATAAGGGTATTTTGTGAAAAAAAAATGAAATTATGAGGGTACTTTGTGAAAAAAACGGAAGTATGATGGTTTTTTGTGAAAAAAACGAAATTATAAGGGTATTTTGTGAAAAAAACGAAATTATGAGGGTACTTTGTGAAAAAAACGGAAGTATGATGGTTTTTTTTGAAAAAAACGAAATTATAAGGGTATTTTGTAAAAAAAAGCAAAATTATGAGGGGACTTTGTGAAAAAATGGAAGTATCATGGTTTTTTGTGAAAAAAACGAAATTATTAGGGTATTTTTTGAAAAAAAACAAAATTATGAGGGTACTTTGTGAAAAAAACGGAAGTATCATGGTTTTTTGTGAAAAAACGAAATTATAAGGGTATTTTGTGAAAAAAACAGAAGTACGATGGTATTTTGTGAAAAAACAAAATTATGAGGGTATTTTGTGAAAAAACGGAAGTATAATGTTATTTTGTGAAAAAACCAAATTATGAGGGTATTTTGTGAAAAAAACGGAAGTATAATGGTATCTTGTGAAAAAAACAAAAGTATGAGGATATTTTGTGAAAAAAATGAAAGTATAATGTTATTTGTGTTAAAAATGAAAATTTTTTGCAATTTTGTGTTAAATATGAAAGTAGGCTGTCATTTTGGTTAGTGTTATGTTAGTCTAGACATAAGTTTGATGGTTTTTAAAGTTGTTGGACGATTTTGCCCTTGTCCCAAAGATGGCAATCCTAAAGAACTTAAGGAAAGGGAAGTTCAAGTCACAAACAATACGACCAAAACCAAAAAATTTTAATTGCTAGTTTTGATTAAAAATGATAACTTTAAGTACATTTGTCATTTAAAAAAAGGATAAGTACATGCTATACAACAACCACATCTACAATTCTAGAGTTTCTACAATTCTTTCAATTCTTCAAGTTTCAAGAATACTTTGTTTTTAAGAAATTCTAATCACAGACTCTATTGCAGCTACAAACACTTTATCATGAAGAGAAGGCAAAGATTCCAACAAGGCTTTGCAAATTTTACTTTGGACAAAGTTTGTTTTTGTTAAAATCCTTTGATCCCAAATATTTTGGGCTCTTAACATGTCCATTATTATGCAAAAATGATTTCCAGATCATGGAACCTGCAACAAGGGTATTTCAGTCATTAGTTAGTAAGGATGTATATAACTTATAAGGACAAGATTTATTACACGAATGTATTTAAAGGAAAAAAATGAAATATTATCTTTTGTAATGAGAACTCAAACAAGTATGCGTGGCTTTGTTATGAATACTTTTAAAAAGATAACAGATTTTAAAAATCTACAAAGAAAAAAAAAGTTAAAAACGGGTGTACTATATAACACCATTTTTTGCATTAAAAATAATGCAAACACGTGATCTATTTCCAAATATATCCCATTTTTGAAGTAACTCCATTTTTAGTGCAAACAAATGATGAGTAACTCCATTTTCAATGCAAATAAATGAATTGGTGAAAAGTAGTGCTCCAGCTTTTAGTAATCTTGCTAGCCGTTACTCTATTTTTGTATTGAAAGTGGAGTTTGATTTAAGTATCTTAACACCCACAAGGTGAATCTAAAAATAAAACTAGTACAATACAATTTCTTTAAGATCATATATAAGTAATATAACTCAAACCATGTTGGCATTAACTACCTTCCATATCATAATGTTGATATCAAATTGTTTAGCCTTGAAAGATGACCATGGTGATATTGTTGCACCTATAGCATCCTCATCTTCCATCTTACCTCTTCCTTTTTCTACTCATGACCTAGAATCAACACATAAACTGATAATTTTCATTCAACATATACACCTACAGAAAGCACCTGAATATAAAATGAAAAAACAGTTAATGTCTTGCAGGAATGAAGTATTAGAAAGATGAAAAAGGGTTAAAGTTGCAACCTTTTTGGCATGATGTTGACCGATGAAATTTCAACAAAACTGAACACACATTGTTTCAACAATTTGATTCATACAAAAATGAAAAAAAAAGTGTATGATAGGAGATGACATTTTGTCGAACATTTGGTGTGCTTCTTTTAATATAGTTGTAAATGAAAAATCCTGTGAGATTCACAAATCACAACTTAACATAAAAAATCTATTTCACATACTCAATCTCAATCATGAATCAATTTTGACTCCATGTGAATAAGTCTTGATTCTTCAATGATCAAGCTTTCATCCATAAGAAATCAAATAACTTTACAGTTCTAATTTTCTGAATATGTAGCTTCAGATTAAATCAAAAAGAAATTGGGAGATTGGGAGAACAAATTGAAAAAAGAATCGACTTACGATTAGGAGTCTTGAGAAAACGAATTCGTTTGATTTTTTATGACAAATTGAAGTTGTTCTCTACCTCTGTCGTTAGCGTGTAAGCTATGTGTGCCAGCTTTGGGGAAAATCCAACTGTTAGGAAGAATCGAAGGACTCACAATAATCCAATGAGTTGCGGCAAACGCCTATCTTCGTCGTAGGAGTGAAAGAGAGTTAATCATGATCGATTTTGTCTTCTCAGTTGATATCTGATAATGTATGAGGAGTTGATATGTGATAACGTATGAGGAAGAAAGTAAAGCACGGTTAACTTCAAACGACGTCGGATAATTACTTTGGGTACCTAATGTTATATACCCTTAAGGGTATATTCACTTTTCCCATATATATATATATATATATATTATATATATATATATATATATATATATAATGTTACATAAGGGACCCTACACTATATAGAAAATATAGAAAATACATAATAAACTAACAGGAAGTATGTAAGAAATGAATAAAGAACATAAATTTCTAGATTTGTACATAATCAATGTGGTTTATATCTCTTTAATATTTAATAGTATCCATAATAATTATCTCAACTTTTGTAGTATCATCATTTCTTGCGTGCAACGATTTCTTTTTTTCAACCATAGGAATTTAGTATACATCTCCAATTCAGTTAATTTTATCATTAAATCAAAACTTCCTTTCATAAAAACAATACCATCTTAACAAATAATATAATATATGTTGTTTGATTTCACTAAACCCATTTACTATTTTTTTTACAATTCTTTAAATAAACGAGCTAAAGTACATTTACCTTTTTAAAAGCTATGATTTTTAAGGACTTTAAGCGATCATAAAAAAACAAATTGGTTGTATATTGTGATGGATATATTGATTTGGTTATGATTTAATTTTACCAAACCATATTCGCATATGAAAGTATAATGTATTTAAATGGTGAATGATATTTTTAATGTATATCTTGCTTTTTAGAATCAAATATGTTATCATTAAATAGAAATGATTTATTCTTTATAGAATGGATCTAACATATAAAAACGCATACTTAATATACACAAAAGTGACAAGTGACTTGTCAATACATTGTGCCTTATTTTTAATATGACATGTATTCTAAAGCAAACTAATCATTGAATTGAAACTAATCATTGTCCATCTGAAGATGACATGTTCTCATTAAGCCGAAGAGAAAATAATTTCCAATTTGATTATGTTCAGTGATGAAAAACAATAAAACTTAGTGACAAATAATTTCAAATGTATGTATTTATCTTACAAAATTGGTTATCGTGTGACCAACTTTATGTGGCATTATCCAAATGGATATCACGTGTCAATAAAAGTATTAGTGAAGTCTGAAGAACAATTCACTGGCAGTGAAGTCTATACATAAAATGTGTTATATGAAGAAGTGTTGCATGATTAATAATATAAAATCAATCATGTGTTCATGCACATTTGTAAAGAATCTCAACTTTTTATTTTTAGTTTTTATTGATTTCGTTTCTGTTAGTGTTACCTTTATTTATAGTTCTTTAGATTTAGTAAACTAGTAGTGCAAAAGAACTAATCACCTATAGAAACTAATTAATGAAAAAATTATTTGTATTCGTCGTTTGGCGATGGTAAACGGCTAATGTGTGTGTGTATGTGTCTATATATATATATATATATATATCTATATTATATATATATATATATAATATATATATATATATGGGAGTGTTCAATCGAGAACATTTCTTATTGCGAGAATATTTGAGAACAAATTTAGACCACACATTTTTTAAATTAAAATCATCAAATAAGATTATTATAATTCAAAAAATAAGTAATAAAATTATAAAACCCACTAACCGACACCATTAATCACCCAAACAACACCACGCACCACCACCACCACCCGTCACCGCCACCCACCTCCACCACCTATCACCACCATCCCCACCCACCCACCAACCACCACCATCATCACCCCCTGCCACTGCCAACCATGACCACCAACCACCACCACCCATCACCATCACCCGCCAGCACAACCAACACCCCCGCCCACCACCCACCAAAACCACCACCTATCACCATCACCACCACCCACCACCCACCACCACCACTACCCACCTCTACCACCGTCACTACCACCCACATGTCACCCACCATTATGACCACCACCAGCCATTATGACCACCACCCATCACCACCACCCACCACCACCACCCATCACCATCACCCGCCTCCACCACCCCCATCCACCCACCACCACCTGTGGCATCCCCTAATTTCTCGGCCAGAAAAGACCGATTTAATTTATGCTTTTTAAAATAAAATCAGAGAAATCTTTTTAAAAGATGTTGCGGAATTGGTCCCCAAAACAAAACATGATAAAAGTTTATCAAAACCTTTCTTTAAGAAATGTATAGCTTCATTTCATATCAAAACCTCGGGATGTCATGTTCCGATACAGATCAAAAGCATAAACAAGACATTATAAGCCTTACAACAGTTATTTACAACTACTCGCCTACAATCAAAAATCTCTCATCGTCCTCCGACTATGCTCGGGGTCCACTACCTGTAACATAAAAAGCTGAGTGGGTCAGGCTTGGGAGCCTGGTGAGCATATAGGGTTTTCAACACATAATAATAAACTTATTAAGTTCACCAATCAACAATAACCCTGATTACCCATTCCCGTTGTCCTCACTTTACGTCCCTAAACACATATCACAAGGGACCTAGCCTAAGGAATATCATCGGGATGGACACTACTGCTAAGGGGACTCCACAGCCATACATGTCCTAAAGGCAACCATGAGGGGGATGGAGTACGCCAATGAACATTTAGTTCATCAACACCTACAAGTTGCGAACATGCTAGTGTGCCACTGGACTGTCTAGAAAGGTCCGTGGTCGTGATCTATACTCCGCTAGACGACTAATACAACAACAACAACAACAACAACAACAACATCGAGGCATCTCACCATTTTAACACACATCGACTATTTCGTCTACCCATGTTCTACCCAACATATTTGTAGATAAATTACATATACAGTTTAAAACTCGTATAAAACATCTGTTCAACAGTCACCTCAAATAAATATTTAATATAATTACACATAGCACGTATTTTATAGAAAATACTTCATATATAGGTGTAAGATGAAAGTGACTACACACTCACATGATTTGATGATAATCGGGCAGCAATTCGTTTCCTAAAATGTTCGTTTCTAATAAAAACCGGGAGTTTTATTGAGAAACTGGGCTCTGCGTAGGTTGGGCTTCGAAACCGAAAAGATAAATTTCTCGGTCTTCTCGGGCACTTCGGGGCGTATTCCGGGTGTTTGGTATAATATCGGGGCTTCGGGGGAAGTTAGAATGAAAGAAATATTGAAAAAGGGGCTAAAAGTGACAATCTTCCAAAATATACCCGGGAGGTCTCGCACCCTTCTATTTATAGGGGCGAGACTCCTGATCCAAGGGCTGAGAAGCCTCCACGCATCAGCAGATCCGGAGCGAGGCCACGTGGGTTGCGCATGCGAAGGTGCTGCTGGCAGCTTCTTAGTGGACCGAGGTCTAGGGTCCGAGACTTTGGACGTGGCACTCCATGCGAGGCTCGGACACGCTACTGATGACTCACGAGATCGGACACGCGGACTGCTTCGGTTGGGCCTCCCTTTGGTCGAATCAGCAGCGAGCACGTGGCATGCATGCGAGATTCCGGGTGACGTGGCCGAAGTCCCTCCATGCGAAATTCCTCGGATTTAATATTTTTTTCTCGATTTTCGTGCCAAAACTTCTAAAATCCATAACTTTCGCATACGGACTCCGTTTTTGACGTTCTTTATATGCACGTAGGTAAAGTTA